TATTTGGTAATTATTATCATATTTAGTATTAGTTACTAAGGATTCAACGAATTTCTGTAACTAAATGCAGTTTGTTATAGTTACCAGTCTTTTCTCTCAGTGTACGTGCAATACAAATATTTTGTGTAAAAATAAATAACGATAATCAGCAACAAATCACTTTTCTTTACAAGTAGGAATGATAGTAACGAATTACTTTCTAAAAGTAACTTTTCTAATCTTGTTTTTCGGGAGTTTATCGATTAGAGCGCGAAAAATATAAAATTATGTTCCCGTGCATTTGTAACTTGTGCTTGCACTTATAACTCCATCTAGCTATCGTTGACCATGTGCTATCATGACGCGACTGCATCGAGGTACGATAACATCGAACGATACATTGTTGCAATAATAACATGTAACTATACTGCTATGTTTGTGCATGCATACATGTATATGTATCTCACAAATGATATTTAATCATTTCTGCCGACGACTCATGATGCTTCGTCTACGTTTTCAGCGTTATTTTTCATAAATTTACACATGAATAACGAGATACATTGTTGTACGGTACATAGCGTGTGATACCGTGCGAAAGAAGCGAGCACGAAGCGGCAATCGGATTTCCAGTCAAAAACCCCGATCACTCTCGCGCACTTTCACTCCTTCCGACTTACATTCGCCGCTTCTCCTGTTTGTTACGAAGCAATTGTGGCCGATCGTCCATACTTTCTCCGCTTGAAAAAATTCTCATAGTCGATTCACGCCTACAAATTCTATTTATTCATTGTTATCTTACTACATGCAGCTCGGCGATTTTTCGCAGGATGACTCATGTGTAATCGTATATCGAATGTATTATCAAAAGATAGATAGCCTGTCGACGCATGCGCCCATGCGCGCATTATAGAAAAGAGATGATATCTCGAATCAAAAAGCTTCCCGGCGATCTCTCATGTACAATCAAGATAATGAGAGATGTCTCAGATTGATAACAGAAGATACCGGGTGACTGCAAATGACGCTCGCCCGGCGGAAAATTTCAATAAACGGCCGTCAAAGCACTTTGTTAACAAAAAAAAAGAGAGAGAGAGATAGAAGAAAAAATGTAACCGCTGCCTGGAGAGTAACAGGCGGCCGAGCGCGCCAAGCAACCGAACGAAAGAATAATAAATTATCGACTCCCGACTCCCGCGAGATTATCGTCTCGAATTCTACACATGACGTGTTCCGAACGACGCGGCGCGACGGCGCCGCGACGGCACCGCGGGCCGCTCTGATTCGCGACTGGTGAGCACACCGCGCTGTTTATTCGCTGTTGGTGACGTCGCCGATGTCTGGCATCCGAGAGCGCGCTCGCGGAACGCGGTCCCGTGACGTGTTTAATCCGGCACTGCCGCCTCTCCAGCCGCATTCTGTGGACGACGTTCGAACCGACTACATACGGCTGAGTATACGCCGCGCACACGTTTGAACGCACACGACGCATACACCTGACACATTCTGACACGTCGGCCGAGGAAGCGAGCGGAGTGAACTGAAAACGAGCTGAGCGAGTGTCAGTACGTTTTTGTTGGAATCACTGAGACACAACAGACCGATCGTCCTTGGGCTTTTCTACACTCGCTCTACCCGACCCAAGTGGAAGGTACACCGACATCGATCGTCTCAGGGAGGGTGAGTAATAGTCATCATCGTCGTAGTTGTGATTCCCCGATATAGACTCGTGATTCTCGCGCTGATGTTACATAACAGCCCCCTTGGCCGATGAGGGAAACAGGTGCATAACACCGTCGCCTCGACCCGAGCTTTAGCGCGCGCGTGAGAAAGAGAGAGAAAAAGAGAGGGAGAGAACGTCGTCGTCGCCGCCGCTGCCGCTCAGGTTGAAAAGTGCTGCGTAGTCGTGGGATCGATTGGAGCGCGCGACGCGTGTTGACGTCGTCGTCGTCGTAGTCGTCGGCGCACGCGACTATATATTTTCGGCTGCGACGGATATAGTCTCCTTCGAGAGTGTTCCCTACGAGGAGAAGAGAGAGAGAGGAGGAAGGAGAGACTACGTAGATCACGTCTGCGAGTCGCGATCAGGTGTGCGAATACCTCGAATCCGCGCTGCAGCCGACGGATGATGTAACTCGCGCCGGTTCGCGAAAATCGGAATCACATGCGTCCGGACGCCTCTCGGCCGTTACGTAACCAGTCGGCCTAACTGGTGACTGTCGCTTTTTCCGCAGTGCGCCTTCTCATCCACGAGTGCCGATAAGAGTGTCGGAAAAACTGCACGCGTAAGTCGAACCTTCACAAAACCGCATACACCACTCGCTGGCAAGCTCCCCGACGAGATAAGATTGTAACATGCCTTTTGGCTCCTTTATCGCATACACTCTTGACGTCTTGATGTGATACGGGCACTTCTTTTTTTGGTGCAGTTTGAAACGCAACCGATGATCTCCAATGACAGAAACTGCCCAAATTGAAATTTTCGTTCTACTTTCGACGTCAATATTCCATTTCACGAAGTCTACATCAACCGTTTTTGATTCTATTTAATCTACTAACTTAAGAGATTCTTTTTATAACCTACAAGTAGCATTTTGTGCGTTTTTTGTCATTGGCCAAATAAGATTTCAATTTCCATGTGTATTAAACATACACTGATATTCCAAAATATACAAATAGAAGGTAATCGAAAATAAGACTAAAATTTCGACTTGAGTCTGTTCTTTCTAATTGAACTAGTGTTGTGCGCTGGAACTTTGTTTCCTTTTCTCTACAATGCTAGACTATGTATTTATCTCACTCTAAAGAGTGCAATCTGGCTCGGCTAAAAGAAACAGATCTTTTGTTTTTGATTAATTACTACAAGTTAAGCTCTCTCATCAGCTGTATTCCAAACTGCAACAAGGAAGAAGTGTCCAAAAATCCTATTGAGACCAACTCAGACAGAAATGCTGAACATAGATTGCAAACATTTAATGTATGCTTTGTGATGATATTGCGACAGCACGTATTTAAAATATGCTTGTTTTAAGAAATAGATATTTATTATTCCATAACTTTTTAATTAAAATACGTACTTTTCATTACTATAATAATTCCGAATCAGCTGGATTCTCGGCAAAATGAGCAGGAATTTTCATGACATTAGATGATTTCTTTTACTGATTAAATTCTTGTTATTCTTGTTATACGAAGATGCATTTTAGTCACGGAGCAAACAATATGCCGAAATATGTCTATCTAGGAAGTGTGAAGACAATCTGTTACGCGAATTATTCAAAAATAAATTCTCCCATTGAACGACAGCTGCATTTCGAAATGCGTCGAAGGAAACGCATTTAAATTGTTTTGCAAAGATATGCTAGCGACAGCATATGGAGAATTCTCTTTTTTCTTTCCTTTTTTCAAATACTTTTAACATTTATGATAATTTGTCGGGAATAACAAAGTCGTTTTCTCAGCTAAGTCGAGGTACAATTGTGCCAACGGAGATGTACGTAGATAAGATAAGTTACGTACGAGGAAATCGTGATGTAAGATTTGGGCGCTACAGCGCTCGGAGATGACTAAGCGAATTCGTGCGTGAGGATGCATCGTAGATCGCGAATCCGGTGGTATCCACTTCTGACCAAACGAATATTGACTCTATATTTATCAACGAGTTCGTAGAAAACCTGAGGAAAATGCAAAATTCACGTATATATGTATATATGTATTTCGTATATATATATTCGTATACGTATATACGTATATACGTGATAAATATGATCTTGTCCAGATGAAATTAATTCATCGCAGAACACAACGTGCGATCCTATAATGATAAATTATTTTTTTATTCCTCACAGACGCGGGAGATACGGATACGGATATTGTTTATCAAATTACTCGAAAATACTAATAATCGTTAATAACCTTTCGCTCGTTTCTCGGCACTGTTATCGATGTATATACAACTCTTAGAAAGCAACGAGCAAATGTATGAAATTATCTATACGCGAGGGATGATTGACGTAGTAAGAAATCCGCGAACATCCGCAAGCATTTGAAGCTCGTGTCAGACTAAATATCGAAAATTGGAATTTGACCGATCGAAACAAAGTGAGTTAGTCGAGGTCGAAATAAGTTGAATCGTTGAATTCGAATCTCTAATTCGCTATACTGAAACACTCAATTTCCTATACTCATAGTCTGAAAAGGTCCCCAGGTGAATATTATACACAATCGAATCGTGTAACGTCTCGCGCTGAATCATCGTTTGCCCTTTGTTTCAGGCTTCCAAAATCCCTCCCATCTACAAACGTCCAACAACCAGCAACATTTCAGTTGAGGAAGGAGGTGTTCTTAACGTAAGTACCGTGGAAGAAAAACTCCCCCTGGAGGGGGAGGGGGAGAGGAGATATTCGGACAATGATGCGTCGCGTACGGCGATGGACGAACGTACCGACATGATTGGTGCAATACAAACATTTTAGGTATCAAAATCATGCAACCGTCAGCCGCTCCCGTTATCTGTTTCTCGTGGCGTGAGATCGCGGCCACTGGGCGAAGGCATTGCCTCCTCTACAAAGGTAGATACCATACCTCTACTGAGCCCGACGATGGAGTCCGAACTTTTGAAGGAGCCCTGGACATCTCCGCACAAAAAGCCCGCAAGTCCAACGAAAGAAGAGGACACCGCGGCATTTCCCGCTTGGGAAGAGGACTTTCAGGATCTGAGCAGTTGGTGCATGGACACGTTCCAGGCTCAATGCGATTTTCATATAGGTGAATCGACTACGTTTAAACTGTCAGGTACATACCCATCCATTGAAATGTTACATAATTAATTACTTCAATTAATATTAATACCACACTTAAAGTAATCAGTAAGTCGGTATAAAAAGAGCGGTTGGACATATAAAGGAGGGGAGGCCAAAAAACATTCACCACATATCGTTTGCACGTGAAATACTAGTAGGGCTGAAATCCAACGATGATTCTTATTGATCTTAAATAATCTACATGGTTAACTACCAGAAAGTCCTGCTGGTATTTGTTTTGTTATATAAATTAATTATAATGTCAATACGATACTGTTAAATTAGTCAAGGCAAGAGTTAAGACACGCCTCGCCCGTATTTCAGGTACGAAATACGAGGGTAACGGCGTTTCGACTGTGGAAGAAGACGGATTATTAAAGGGTTTGAGGAGTAAGGTTGATGATGAGAAGTTGAATTTGAAAATGGATACCGTTAAGACGATGACCGGAGAGTCAAGTGATAATCACTTGTTGCTGTCTCCAACAGAACTGGTTAACAAATATGAAAAAGGGTACGGTAACGAGGAGAACTGTATGTCCAGCTCGTGGTTAATGTCACCCGAATCTACAGCTTCTACAAGTACTTCGTCGAGTAAACAGTATAACACAACCGACGTTAGCGCACCATTTCAACATGAATATCGCGTGAGCAATGATTATGCTTGCCCAACCTCGTTTGATTCCACCGCAAGCCAGCACGAAACATGGGACGAGCTACCTACGATCGAGACGATTGGGTCGGATACGTTCGACTTATTGTCATATCTTTGCGACGTAAGTTGGTGAATTTATCACAGGCTTAGCCAACCCGTGACTCGCCAGATAATTCTACTATTGTACTATTACTTCTACTACTTCTATTTTTATACTATTTGATTACATACACAATGGGAAATCATTGAAACACTATATCTGTAGTCATCAGTGTAAGGATTATCAAAAGCGGGTCGTAAAAAATAATATAGTGAACCGCGGGTTGACCAGATTTTCAATAAAAAAAAAACATTTCGATTTGAGCGCACAGTTACCACTGTTGTTAGTAGTGCTACTGTAGTGCTTGCGAGCTGGTGGCGGTTATTATCGTACTGGTTTCAGCTGCTTACTGATGAAACAGACTTCACTGACAAAACCGATATTTATATTACAGGACGAAATGCGTTCGCCAGAGGGTAGCGTTTCTACTGATTCCACGGCAATGTTGAAACACAGGCCGCTTACAATGTCGTCGCCAATACTCACACCAACCTCCACGAAGGTGAAGACCGAGGAGACGAATGCATCGCCAAAGCCTCGAAGAATGGAGACCCGTGCGACTTCGACGGTGACCTCGTCCTCTGTAGAAACTCCCACGACGTCATCCCGGAGATCGGAAAGAAAGTTGCTCGTCAATAACAAAGAGAAAGAAAAAACCACTGTCAAAGCAAAGAAAGAAAAGAACGCAAAAAAGAGATATTACGAAAGCGAATCTGATGAGGATATTGCTCTCATACAATACAGAGAGTCCCGCGAGAAAAACAACGAGGCGTCACGGAAATCGCGGATGAACAAGAAAGTCAAGGAATCGGAAATGAGCGTAAGGGCGATCCAATTGGAGAAGGACAACAAGATATTGAAGATGAAAGTTGAAGAGCTAGAGAAGCTCGTGACGTCAATGCGCAACGCGCTACTACAATCTGCTTTGAAAAAAGAGTTTTAAGTATGCGTTATTTCATACTCCGACGTTCGCGAGAAATAATGTCGCGAGAAATAATCTATTAACAAAATACGTTATACTTCTTTCGTCTGTTATGCATGCGCTGTTACGCAACGATCCCTTGACGCGATGAGGAATCGCATGACGTTTTAATGCCGACTTGTTTGCCTTAATTGTTGCAATGCGATGGTTATAAAGGCGTCCTTAAGGCTTACTATTATTGTTACTTTGGTGTTGTTTCGTCGTGAGACGCGATAGCCGTCTATAGACAACTATGTATCTTTACACAACTTAATTGTCCAGACTAAACTATCCGTGGAAGAGAGAAGAAATGATAGACTAGTTGTACATTGTTGCGATGCGCGTTAAGATGTTTGGCAACGTTTGGCTTGCTACATGTCGATACACGGGGATTATTGTATATTAAGCGAGAGTTTATTTTGCTATAACGAAAGATACTGAGATTAGAATATGTATTTTATGAAATACACACATACACACACAGATACACACATACGCAAATAAATATATGCTATATATATATATAAGTTATATTATACTATATATACTATATATATATATATATATATATGTATGTATGTATGTATGTATGTATATATATATATATATATATATATATATATATCAGAGAGGGTACTACACGAGTGGACATACGATTTTAAACGATACAATATCGTAATCGTAACAGAATTTTAATTGATTCGAACAAAATCGCATAGTCACATTTTGTTCAGCCTTGTATTGTACCTGATACAAAAAGAAGAAAAAACAGAATAATCACATGCATATAGAGAGTTCTATCGCAGAGAAGCGTGTAATTGGTAAAACACAGTTTTCTACTACTACTACTACTGGTGTGGAATTAACGATATCGATACGATGTAAGAGCAAAATCCAATAAAAACTCTGTTGAAAAAAACTAAAAGAAAGAAAGAAAAGTCTACCCATCTCTCGCGTTATTCCGCGCGCATATGCATACACACACATACATACGTCACAAAAATAGCGCGCGTATAAAAATAGCAAAACATTGTAGACGCGGCTTGTGCGCTGGTTTGCCATACCTGTGTGTTTTCTATAGATACAAGCACGATGCATACAAGCCCCATGCCAATTCGCTTGAACAGTAGCGCGTCGGCGACACGCGAGACACTTAGGTGGATCGCGCGGATATTATTAGCGCATAACAACGCGATCACCGTAAACACAAGCGTATACGTACATACATCCATACATATATGCACAATACATGCGACAGCGCGGTATTATGAGATAATTACAAAATCGATAGCGGCTCGATGTGGACGAAGAAACAGAGAGAGAGAGAGAGAGAGAGAGAGAGAAAAGAATAGAGAGACGATGCACGCGGGAAACAAACGCGGGCTAAATATTGCCGCATTGTGCGGCGCACCTTGCAATGTGCGCCGTAACGTTTGTTCAGCATATATGGACTTGTTCTAACGTCGCCGAAGAGGCCAACCGGCCAAACAATTTTCTGCTGCTGCTTACAATGTCGTAGGAGCGCGTCTGGAAGAGCGTTATCAAAGCGTTCTTCTAACCGAGGCCGGAGGACGAGGGCGATTGCGCGGGCGAAGGAGGTAAGACCTCTTTCCGCTAATTGAATATCCGGCGTCACGAGACGCATACACACACACACACGCACACACACACACACACACATACGTGCGCGGGGCCACCGCGCTCGTCTCGTGAGCGAACTCATTCGCAAATTGCACCGTCTCGCGATATGCCTCGTGAATTGGAGTAATTAGCGGTCGTACGCAGTTTGGCGGCGGGAACACGCGCGCGTTAGAAATTCGCGACGGCGAAATTTCGTATCAACGTCGGATATTTATGATGTCGGATGACCGATGATGACTGCGCAGTTCTCGTTCTTTGTGTTTACAACGAGCGTAAACATAATTATAACGGGCGAGTATGGAGCTGTGGATCACGTTTTGGCACACCCGGTGTGCCAAACACACAAATAGAGAACTGGCTATATATCGCGGGCTTCGATTTTTAAAGAGGCACAAAGTATCCCGCATCGACGAGCGTTTTCCTTCCACTGTGGATCTATCCTGCGACCGTATTTCTGGATGCGTAGACTGAGAAAAAAATGTTTAAAAAATAATAAATATTTGTTTGGTGGAGGTACTAATATAACATATATTTATCTTGAATCTGAATTCTTTTATTTATAGAGTAAACAATTGCTTTAATAAAAAACTAAGGTTTTCTTAAGATTTTAAGAAAATGTGTATTTTCTCATTTGAAAAATATTTTATATTAATATAAATAAATATGTTACAGTCGTATATTGGATACTAAATATGCCTTTCTTATTTTTCAGCTGCAACTACGTTATATGTGATATTTACAAAAGAAAATCGGTACATGAAATTAGATGTTTTAATATCAAACATGCGTCCAGTTCAAGATTCTTATCATAGCAATTATGTACATTTTTCCTAGAAGTGATTTTATGCGAATTCCGATGACCTTAATAATCACATAACTTTTTGAATTGAGGTAATATGGAACTAGTTATGTGAAATTTTTTGCACTTCTAGGGCAGTATTCATAGTTTGATTTAAGATTGTCTTAATATAACACAAATGTGTGTTATATTAATGTCTTAATATAACAATGAAATGACTTTCATAGTATTTAAAAATGAACTTAAGACGATTTTAAATATTAGGGATATCCATAAGATAGTAATTAAATATTTTAAAATGAAATACATTTAAAAATGTATAGATTTAAATATGTATAGTAAAAGATTTATTTTTTAATTAATAATATAATGAGTTGAATATTTTATTTAAATAGCACGCTAAGAAAATAATATTTGTCTACTATACAGTTTAAATAAAAACTAACACGCGAATAAGAGTCTTGTAAATACTCGATTATTTGTGGATACCTATAATCAGACTATCGGCGACATTTTCAGTCCGATCTTATATTTAATTTTTATATTTTCAATTGCCTGGAGATTATCTTTAGATGTTATAGGAACCGTTTTATTGGTTTGAAGGTGAACTTAAGAAGATTTTAAATATAAGACTCTCTGAATTATATCTCCTTTTAATTAATGGTTAAGAACAAAACCCCAAAAGCCAGTCATTGATACAAACATATACGAAATATGACTGATTTTCTCAAACTGAAATTGCTGTTAGAGGAGAGATGATAGAGAGAGGAGTTCGAAATTTTCCAGTTGGCAATTCTGCCAAGTTAACCGCCGGTTAAGATTAACCGATGTTGGCAGAAAGTTATCTTGAGTGCTGAGTATTAAATACCCAAACGACACGAATTACTGAAGATATTTTAAAGACGACTAAAAGAAATAGGACGTCTTTTTAACATTTTTAATTTTGTTAGTCGCTCGCTGCGGAACTTCAGATTCATGACATCAAAAGTGAGAAAATGCATGTTCAAAATTCTTGCGAAGTAAAGCTGAAATAAAAAGACTTTATATATATAATAACTCTTGGGATCAATTAAGTACTTTCGTAAAATATTTCAGAAACTTTCTTTTTGTTCTAACAATCAATTAATAACTATAAAATCAACATGTAATCTTTTTTTTTACTCTGACTTCTCTCGTGATTTTGTTACGTTAATTTGATGGCTATTTATTGATTGTTAGAGTAAAAGGAAAGTTTTCGGAATACTTTGTGCTCAGTTACATCAATCGGTTACAAATATTTTATTTCAACTATCTTTGTTCGACATAATCATTCTACATAACTTTTATTCGATATAACCTTTATCTCTCACTTCTGGGGCTGTATTTTGTTTACCAATAACTATCGGTTCGGTTTGTGTCATTGCGCAAAAGTAATCATAAAATATAGCATTATAAAATTATAATTTATATCATTATAAAATAGTTGCGCAACAACACATATGAACTGATAATTAGACGATAAACGTGTACAGAATACAGTCCCTGTAGTCTTTACTCAAGATAGTTGTGGCGAGAATACAGAGACCTTGGCGCGGGATGCCATACTTAAAAACTTTGCCGACAAAATACTGATCTTTTTCTGCAAAGTTTCCGTCATATAGGTTGCACAGAATTATAAATTTTTCTTCACACGAAAAGTACGTTTAATAATGAACTGGAGCATTTCTCAATATATGACGAAAACGACAAAAAATTAAAAAATTGACATCTCGAACTATAAGTTGGCGTAAATATTTACTTGATACAAACAGCTTGTATGTACCACACGTATATTTGCTCTATTAATGAAAATTTCAAGAAACATTTCCATATCTTTGCAACTGTATGTAAAAGTTCTAAAGTATATAAAAACTACAGATGGTTTCTATATATGCGTAGTTACATGTTTCTTGCCGGCATGCTAAAACAAAGCAGCACACATTTATACAAGATTTATATGTATAAAAAATACGAAAAAGATAGTCCCAGTTAAAAATCAAATATCTGGAAAATGTTCTGAAAATATTTTCATAAGATATTATTTTCAGAACATTCTGAAAGAATGTTTAAAAAGAAATTCTGACGTACATAGTTTGTTTTACAAACATCTTCGAAAGTAGTTTTCAAATTCTTCTGAGAACATATTTTTGCCATTAACTTTGATAAGATGTTCTGAGAATCTTCCTTATTTTAATTTTAAAATTAACTCAGACAACATAAATCTACAAGGGACGTCTTGAGGACGTCTTTAAGACGTCCTGAGAACATAAGGACGTCTCCAGGACGTCCACAAAACGTCCCTTAGAGATGTGTGCTGTCAAGGAAGCTATTTATGTTCTTATGGAATTAAGATTTAAAAACTGTTTTGAGCATATCCTGGAAGCTCTTCTTGACATTAATTTTTTTGAGAACTTTCTTGAAACATTTTTGCTTTATAATGTACAGAGAATTTTAGAATATATAGTAAGAATTAATTGGTATTAATCTTTACACACTGGTGCATCAATGCATTTCCTAAGTATAAAGAAACTGGTTTTATTTTTATCAATTTTCTTTCGATTCTTCGTTACCGTACGTAAACTCATAAAATAAGATAATCTTAAAAGATATATATGCGTAGTTATAAAAGTAGTAGTAGATATAAAAAAATAAATATTTTATGTGAGAAATTTCATATCTTATACTGAAAAATATCAGGATAAAGTATAAAATAAATTCACTATTCGATAATCTTCGATCTTTTTAATACTTTTATAAGTAGAATGGCCTGATTAACGTTAAAAAAAAACCATTCTACAGCACAAACTTGTAGCTACATTGCAGCAACGTTGCAATGTTGCATACTACAGTACAATGTTGCATAGATAATAATCATATAGTGAAAAAAATTTGTCTTGAATTAATGTAGTATTAATTCAAGTAATAATTTGTGTAATAATTTATATTATTTGTATTTGTATATTAGAATCATCCTTCTAGAATAATCATTCATGAAACATTTTTGTGGAAGAATATAATATTAATGAATTTTAAATCAAACCAAAACATTCTCAATATGTTCCAACGAAACAAAATTCAGAATATTCCAACAAGTGCAAAATAAAACATTCGAGAACTATTTCACAAATCTGATGCATCAGAATAAAATGTTCTTAGAATGTTTCTATGTTGTCCCTTATAAATGGTATGAACGAATTTTATTACTTGTATTAATATTACATTAATGCAGAACAAATTTTTGTTATTAGAATATGATCGTGTTAGTGATGATCGTCTTTACATTGTCAACACTTTAGTAGTTCATCCACTTTGACATCTTTTTAAGACATTTTTTAGCCTGTGCTGTCTAGCTGGTAAGGTGAAGATGTCCGGACACGTAACTACTCCTGGACACTCTTTTTGTTTTGGTCTTTAGATACAAATATTTAAACTTTTAACGTAAAATATATCTGTATTGAGTGTGCCCCGAGTCGAAATTTTGATACTAATTTGACGCTCTTAAGGATAGTTTACGTCTACATAGACGGTTTATAGCCTAATAAAGATAAAACCTACTTTGACGATTAATAGTTATTAACTTCTCTTTTAAATCTTTAATTCTACCTTGTCAAAATTTTGACGCTACTTTGACGCTCTTAAAAATAGTTTGAGCCTATTTAGATCATCTACAACCTAGGTGAAACCTATTTTGACGATATTGACACTCATTTCCGAGTCAAAATTTTGACCCTATGTTGAACCTTGAATTCTACACCGCAGTAAGAACTAAGATAGCAAAATAGGTTTAATTCTAATGATATAATTTATTCCTACTTTGACCCTGATAATGTCTGAAATATATGCAACAAATAAAATATATATTTTGTATGCTATTTGACGTTTCTGTTTCGTTATTTATTAAATTTTTAAAATATTTCTATAAAATACATATATTCTACATAGGAGCTAAAGCTTCAATAGAGGTTCGCAAATGAACCTCTTTGCTTCCTAAGATCCTACTATTGTACAACCTATTTTGACGCTAAAGAAAGCGAAAGTGGAAATTTCAGACATCATCAGGGTCAAAGTAGGAGTAAATTATATCATTAGAATTAAACCTATTTTGCTATCTTAGCTCCTACTGCGGTGTAGAATTCAAGGTTCAACATAGGGTCAAAATTTTTTGGGTGTAAATATATTCTATATTGAAGGTTTAAATATTCGTATTTAAAGAATAAAACAATAAGCATGTCCGGGATTAGATACGTGTATAGGAATTGGTACCTTTATTTCAATATGTTAGTTTTGCAAAAACCTGGCTAAAGCCAAATAAAGTTCTATAAAAAAGCTAAAGCCTTCTCTGAATTATAAACATCATGCCCAGATATCATTTACACGGTCGCCACTCCGCTGATCGACTAGTAGTCAAATTATTCGAGTGTTCCCGATTGATCGGAATTGCGGAACTTCAACGAAGGAGCTTGAACCTGCTTCGACGCGCCTGGTCGAGTGCGCCTGCATCGATTACCCGCATTGCTTTCCGCGCCCGCATACCGTTAGCTTTATTAGTCTCCAGCGCGTTATTATTATTCCGAACCGTCAGGGCATCGTAGCCGACCGCGCTATCGAAACGCGAACGCAATCACTCTCATAGCGAATCTCTTGGAAAGATGGCGAACGCGCGCGGGACGTTCGCTTCTCGCCTCTCTCGACCGAGAGAGAACGGCGCGTACGAATTCTCTCTCCCTTCACGGCTCCCGACTTCCCACGCGTCGTCCTGTCGCTCCCCCGCGGAAAACCGACGACCTGGTTTCCCATTTCCAGCGGCCGCAGACAGCGCATCCTCGCCGTTCTCTTGAGGGACGCGGCAGGAACGAGGAGTCGTGTCTTGGCGGAATTTTTTCAAAATCCGCTCCGTGACTGATGAGAGATGCGCGCGCAGCGCTCGGCGCTCACTGCCGCTTCTGCGGCAGCTCGGCGCGCTGGTAACAGGTGGTTCGTCGCGATTGGTCGAGCGGCAGCGGCTCAAGTGCCTCGCGGCATCAGCACGTGCGGCCTGCCGGTCCGGCATTCACGCGGAGAACGCCGCAGCGTACGTATCCGGTCGAGATTCGCCCTTCGTATATCCGTTTCGCTCTCTTTTTCTCTTTCTCTCTCTTTTTCTCTGTCTCTCTTTCCCTTTTTCTCTCGCTCTCCCCTCACCTGCGATTACTCGTGTCATCCCATCGACCTTCATCGGATTTCGCGCGCCACCATTCGAAAATCAATAAGTCGTGTGTGTGTCTTGTGCGTCCTGGCTGCGTGAGCGTTCACGTCGTAGCGCGTAACAAGCGTCTCTGCGGGGTGCGAAACAGGCAGTCGCCATTGACGGCGGCTCCACGAAGCGCTCGTAGGTGCGCGGGTGTTGGCTATCGATCCTGCTTGTCCCGCTTTCTTGCGCGTTCATCGGCGCCTACATTGTCGTCGCCGTCGCCGTCGCCGCCACTGTCGTCGCCGTCGCTGTCGTCAGTGATCATCGTACGGTACAATACGGTGTACGAGCTGCGATCAGTAACAGTGTTGTGCCTTTGACATACGAAAGTGATTATTTCTCCGGCTTGTACCAGAAGAAAGGCCTTTCTGCACGACGTCCCGCCCTATCGGTGAGTAACTGTACACGATTATTTTTCGTTTTTCTTCCTGTTCCTTTTTGTTTTTTCTTTTTTTTTTTTGGTATCTTTGTTGATCCCCGACCACGCGCGCTCGCGCGCTGGTACCGCTACTCGATGAGCGCAGCGGCGCGCTCCGACATGGCACGCACAGTCCGGTGCACGTGCACGCGTGCTCGTGGCCGGTCGAGCCGGCGCTCCGTTCCATCTGGTGCGCTCCGATTGCACCGAGCGGATTTATTATCACGCGCAAGGGTCACCTCGCGCGCCGCCAGGCATACGGCCACCCGAGAAGACCGAGCGCGATCCTCTCCCCTCGGGAGATTTTCAGAGACGCGCGATCGACCCGAGTGATGTAGCGCGCTCGAAATTCCAGCGGTTTCGTTAGCCAATCGATGGATCTCTAGGGGTGTTTTTCTTTCGAAAAGGACTCTGGTGACTAATGCGTTTTCTTTTGTAAGAGCGTGCACGCAGGTACTAGTAGGTAGCACAGGAAATTTCAGAATCACCCTAAATATGTTCGGCATACTTCGAGGAATATTCTAGAATATACCTATATATATTCTAGAATAATCTCGGGAAGTTTTATCTGAGCTTTCTACGACGCGGTAATTATCAATATGATAATTTTGTACACTGTGAAAAATATAATTCTACTGCTAGGACAAGCAATCATTCAGCTTATTTTGTTCCTTTGAAATAACAGTATCTTCAAGAAAGAACATTTTTTCTCTTGATAGTAGTGTTCTAATATACTCACTATTTTGGAAAATTATTGTATTCATTATCGTATTCTCAAAGGAAAAATTTATCTCAAAGAAAGAATTTAGCCTTCTAACAAGAATGTTATAAAACATGATCGGAAAAAAGACGGCTCGATATAGTCGGGCGTGCACGCAGTCACTGATAGGTAGCACAGGAAATTTCAGAATTATCCTAAACATGTTTGGCATACCTGCGAGGAATATTCTAGAATATACTTAGAATAATCTCAGAAAGTTTTGTATTATCTGAGCTTTCTACGACACGGTAATTATCAATATGATAATTTTGTACACTGTGAAAAATATAATTCTACTGCTAGGACAAGCAATCATTCAGCTTACTTTGTTCCTTTGAAATAACAGTATCTTCAAGAAAGAACATTTTTTCTCTTGATATTAGTGTTCTAATATACTCACTATACATTTTGGAAAATTATCGTATTCATTATCGTATTCTCAAAGGAAAAATTTATCTCAAAGAAAGAATTTAGTCTCCTAACAAGAATGTTATAAAACATGATCGGAAAAAAGTCGGCTCGACTTCATATGTAGAGAGCAAATTGAATTTTTATCTTAATTTAATATTCTTGGTTGAAATTCTATAAACCTATTCGGAATGTATTTTGAATAAATTAACAATCAATTAAATTGTAATTATGTAACAACGACAGTCAATTAAATTGTAAAGAACCTACAAGAGTCATGCGTTGGATATAAATATACTTTATTTATATCAAACTGAATTGTTAGTCATCATATATCACAAACGTTTCGGTCCTTGAGATCTTCTTCATTACTTGCATTCGATATTATAAATCGAAGACGTCTAATAGCTCTTTTATTTCGAAAATCATTTGGTAATTCACATCTATTTGCTATATTATCACATCTGTGTTCGTTATTTACATTTTTAGAGTAAATCGAGCTCTTCGATCAGAGACCGAAGCTCCCAGATGTTCATTTGCCCGCAAAAATTTAAGCTAATCTATCTCCAACCTATTTATCTACAATCTATAATCTATTTACATATGGTTGCATTCAGAAACGCTGACTATTACAGATATGTTCTATTTCACTGAACTAATATTCACTTTCGGAATTAAAAACAAGTATAATTGAGATTTAGAGGTATATTTTATAACTTTTAACGACATCGTTACGTATCATTGCGCATATTTTTTGTATTATGAAATAACTGCGCAGCGATACATAACGACATCATTAAATGTTATAAAATAGGCCCCTTAGTGTAAAAAAAAAAAAGGAATAGAGAATTAATGCGGTTAGTGTTGCGCTAGTGTGCAGCAAGAAAAAAGGACCGCGCATTTATTTTCTATATATTTTACAAGTCTAAGTTATTTAAAAAGGGAATAATAACTGATCATTCGTTATTTAATCCCGTTGAACGCAAGAAACTTGGCGTATCTTTGTTCTGTAATTCAATTGAAGTTTTATATTGATATTATATTTATATTATTATTTATATAATTATATTTATATAATTGAATTATTAATAATAATAATGAAAAATAATATTTTATACTCATCCAAAAAAGGTCTTATTCTCTCAATGAACTTCTATCTCTAATACAATTATAATCTTAAAATCTACAACATTCTTTAAGAGGTTAAAGCTATAATGAGTATAACAGTTCAGAATCGTTCGGAATTTATTTTTATGCTCGTTTTGCTTGGCGGTCACGTGATCAAACTCACCATCTGCTAGCTCGCATCTGAGATTTACAATGTCGAACACAGCTATTGTATGAGTTTTTAGACTGCATATTTATAATTTCACATATATACTTAAGCATATAATACCTAACGATATAAATTTATATAAATAAAGTATTTATGTCCAACTTGTAGACCCTTTACAATTTAGTTGGTTTTTATAAAAATCTCAGAGCCTTTTCTAAACATTATTGAACTTATGGTACACTTACGGACATATAGACTTACGAAATATATAACAAGTAACATTTATTTGAAGACAGTATGTATTTTTTTACGTGTGTTAACGACGTTTAGTAAAATGTATCATGACGATGATTGTTTATCAGTTTAGCATGCGCTCATTTCTTGCAACTTGTATCCCGTTTCTTTACGATGGAGTAAATTTCAGTCGTGCGTATTGTAAGGCGGATGTTCCATTCATTCCCCAGGTTGATTGCATATCGCGTCTTTACCACTCTGTCATGATAAAGTCCGACAATAAGCAAAAATTTATAAGATTAACGTATCGTACTTCCAACACCCGCGATAAAAGTCTTCGCGATGCTCGTCCCGGTTATGTGAATTGCGTTTGATAAAAACGTGTTCGCGTCCGCCAGTCTCGGCGCGTATATCTTCCTTTTCTCTCTCTCTCTCTCTGTCTCTCTTTCTCCTTCCCTCTTGAAATACCAGTTTCGATTAATATCGACCGCGATTACGTGGAGTCATTCGCGCGCTCGTCGAAAGGTCGGCCGAGTCGAGCCAGACGATTGCATAGAAGTGACATTTGCGTCGAAAGCTATACGACGTCGGATAAACACAACGAGGGAACAATGCTGAAAAAAAAGAGGAAGAGAGGAAGAGAGATCACGTCGAGCTCGAGATAGAAAGCGCGCGGAGAGCCCCGGAGGGCACCGGAAAAAACTACAAAATTGCAGGAGATCGTGATGTCGCGGGTCGTCGTTTATCAGTGCATCTTTCGGTGGCGATCTATTTATAGAAACGAACGGAATCGATACGTCCGGAAGTGAATAATTCGCGCGCGAGAAACTCCAATACAGCAATGCGCCGCGAACGCCGCGCGACATACAAAGTGACGCAAATATTAAATAACGGATTGTTATGTTATTGTCGCGGATACAGGTGACGATTCGCGGCAAATCCGCCTCAGGTGTTGTGTAGCGGAGGTGGATTTGCCGCGCCGTGCCTTCGTGCGCGTGTTAAAATGAAAAACGATACTCCCCTCTCGCTTCCTTCCCGGTCTGTACACGCTCCATACGTGGGAAATAATTCTCGGATTATCCTGCCGATCACGTGCATACGTGATAATGAATTTCCCGAGCGAAAACGTCCCCGTCACTGTTGCATTTGCATCCCTTAATATAATGTAATTCACGTTTCAGAGATATTATTGTGCTATTTACAAAACGCGCGCTACCACCGAAAGCGCCGAGGTACGTAAATCGCTGCGTGCCGGTTTTCAGCGGAATGAAAACGCCATACGATCCTTCCCGAATGATGATCCCCGCGATTATACCTTGCGGCACGATCGATGATCGCATACGAGCGATGCATTTAATCCGCGCCGCATTAACAATCCTCTCCAGCGCGTAACATCTGCTCGGTTGTTTCGCTCGCACGGAGTAACGCTCGATTCCGCACTCCAGCATTCCTAAATCTTTTCACGATGAGAGATTGCGTCCCGTTTACACGAAACTAATCTATCTGCGAATAAGGGGGGAGGGAGAGAGAAATAGATAAGTAGATTTATTCAACCCTGGAGTATATATATGTCCCTTTGGACATACAATGACAAAATAAATAATGTAATGTCTAATACACACATAACAGTATCATTTTACTGCTAAGAAAAGGGGTCACACCGTTTAATTTGCTTTTAAGTAGTTATCTTTGATCCTAAATCATAAAGTTACGTAAATCCTAAACATGGATAAATTTACATAGCTAAAACATAGATAAACCTGACGCATTTTCATTCGCTCATAACTTCCGTAAAAATGATCAAAATTCAACGCTTCTTTTTTTACTCGCTGTGGAAAAGATTTAGGAATATGAATCTATTAATATTTTTGCGATTTAATAAAATTGAAAAAATTTACAATGAAAAAACAAAACACATTTTTAAAAATGAAAAGTCAATAAAAATTAATAAAATTTAATAATTTTATCCGTGTTTAGGGTTTTATGGTTAACAAAGAATATCTTTTTGATAATAGTCTTAAAATGCACTCATCACAAATTTGAAAGAGGCTTATATATGATCATGTACACAAAAGAATAGTAATTTATCCTGTTTACAAGAGTATCACTAAACTTCATCGAAAAAAGTTGGTGTAAACAAATTGAATTTTTGTTTCAATTTAATATGCTTGATTAAAATGCTAAATTTATCAGGATTTAGAGTGTATTTTGAATTTATTTGATGCTTATGATAAACTTATGTGATAGATTTGCGGATATATAAATTTATAAAATATTTGAAATTAGTAACATTTACTTAAATGCAATACTTTTTTGTGTGTAAATATAACGCTACAATAAAGAAGTACACAGAGAAAAAATTTCGTTTGGATTTAATCAATTTTATTGCGTCTAAACTAATTTGATTATTGGAATGGCTCAAAGAAAGTAATGTTTCAATTAATAAATATGATGGTCCGGCTTTTCAAATAATTGTATTGTTTGGCCAAAATAATTTCTTATTGAATTCAAGAAGAAAATTGGTTAAAACAAGAAAATTATTTCATTCAATTTTCTCATTTTGCTAAAAAAATTCAAAAACTAGAATAATCTTAAGAATAAATCAATAGATCTTAAAAAGAAGTCTTAAAAGCATTGACATTTCTTTTTTCATATTACAGACGGTCTTTTTTTATTACTACTTCATCGAGTACGTCATTCTTCTCCCCCATGATTTTCCATTCAAATACTCGTCAATCATTTTGTGATGCGGCCATCTATTCTTCTTTCTGACCATGATTTAATTTGCTTGACTTTAACGATCGAACAGAAATTAATAATTTCAACTAACCTTGACGATACTTGTAGCATTATACTTATAATATATCCTTATAGTCCAAAAATGTTTCTTTCATACTCACAGGTAATTGTTGAGAATAATGCAATAATAATCAATATGTTACGAATATTGCCAGAATATATATTAGCAAATCTGGGACCACATGATTACTCTTGGATTTTTAACCAAATATTATATTGATTAGTACAAACACACACAATAGGTTGAAAAATGAAATATTTAAAATAATAGTTTCTTCAATCAAATAATGATAATGATTTAACCAAACGAAAAACAAAAATTTAAGATAAAACCAAATAATATATTATTAGGTTGAGAATTTCCTTTAAAATAATAGTATTTATAATAGTATTTTCTTTAAATAATTCGTTATATTTCTTTAAATAAGTGTTCATCAAACAACTTGGCTTAATCTAATGAAATAATTATTTTTTAATATTCAAAAAAGCATCAAACGGAAAAATGAAATTTAAATGTGTCTTGCAAAAACAATAAGCATAAATGTTAAGTGCAGAAAATATATACACAGTAAAAAAATAAAATGTTAATTTTAACATTTTTTACACGTCCTAGAAAATCCAGTTTTTTGTAAAAATTTTGTGTAAAAATAACTCATTCGTAATGTGTTACTTATTGATGATTTATGAATGTTAATTAATTCATACTCACCAATTTTTTTCTTATATTTATATTTGTTATTTTAACTTTAAGCACGATTTATAAAAATGACATGAAAAATTTATAAAAATAACATAAAAAAATACACGGTAAAGTAATTAAAATAATTCGTAAGGAATGTCTATGGGACATTCTTGTTCATATAATATGAACGCATTTAAAAAGTGAAGGAATTATAACTTATTTTTCATGTTATATTAACATATGATATTAATTACTTTAACTTAACTTATTCGTGATAGAAATATTTTCTCTTAATAAATTTGATTATTCTGTATGTCAAAGTTTACAATGACTCGAAGATTCACTTTTTAATTCTTGTTAGTATTAAAGTAACTTTAAAAAATTTAATTTTTTTTAATAATTGTGTTAAAAGAACTCAAAATAATATTCAATTTCTAAATGACATAAAAAAACGTTACTAAGTTGACATTAATATAGCACATTAAAATATCACGAAAATAATAACATATCGGTAATCAATTTTATATTGAAATAACAGTTCAAAATGGGTAACATATAAAAATTTTAACAACTGTACACAAGATTTCTAACTGTGTAATGATATAAAAAAGAGAAAGACAAAGTGAGCGAGAGGGAGGGAGGGAGGACTAGATTTTAGGGAAGATAATTTGCGTGGCATATGGCCGGCCGTGCGTATGAGGCGTTAATTTCTTTTCCCGACGATGAGCGAGACCGATTAGAATCCTAGGCGTGCTTGCTCAATTAAACGTTCTCCACTGTGATTTCTCAACACTCGCGCTAGTCGCACACATGGGTCGTGGATTGTAGATTGTATTTTGGTTGAACTTCATTAGTTGCTCTCCACGATAACGTTGATTTCATATTAAATATCCCATTATCTCGAGATTGTGAGTATCTCGTTTGATTAATGAATTCACGCAATATAATTTATACCGTGTATAATTTCGTTTATGTAATTATACAACGAATGAGTGCAACGACGTGTAGTTATAATTACAAATTACTTCAGTGAATGTATATTTGCAAAAAAATTTCTCAATGGTTTTTCGTATTAATCTGTTAGTACATAAATAAATTTTCAATCCTTTATTTAATATATTTTAATTACTTTATATTGTTGTAGATATTCCAAAGTATTGTAAATTATAAAACTTGAGAGATAACATTAATCCATAATACATTGTTTACTATATAGCAAACTTTGTTTCTATTCTCGAGTGTTAACAGTTAATGTTACTTATAAACCGTCACTGATTGCTGTATATATAAAATATTATTTGTTTGTAAGTCTATTTAAATGACGAAATCGCATACACACAGTTAGATAATTTTTTAACGTAATAATTCAGTACTCATAACTTCGTAAATTTGATAACTTAGTAAAGAAATAGTATATATGTTTTTAGATATTAAAAATTCTATATATTTTTAGATATTAAAAAAATTATGTTACATCTAATCAATAATTCTTAAAGAATTTATGTTATAAAAATAAAGTGTATATGTACGCGGTTTGTATAGTTTGTTGGGATTCTTTTGGGAGTATCCTCAGTGAAGCGTTTGGTATTATTTTCGTAATGGTACAAATATAAGAATTTAAAGAGAAAAGAAACACTTAACTTAGAAAATATATCCATTAACGAAAATTCACTTGAGGGAACTCTCCTTAGACTATATGATACTTGTTATATACATATATATATATATATATATATATATATATATATATATATATATATACATATATATATATAATATTTAGTATATAATTATTATATAATTATTTATATTATATAATTATTATATAATTATTTATTTAATATATATAATATTTAGTAATATATTTTAATTACTAATATTTAATTTATATTATATTTCAATAGTTAAGTAACAAAATTTGTGTTATTTTAGTTAGAAAATGATTGTAATTATTTCATATTAAAACACGGGATTGGACCACCACTGTGAGTTATTGCGAATCTTAATGTGTCGAATTTAAGTTTGGAGTAGTCAACAAGCTGTTATTTTTATCCGAACAAATCGACCGCGAAGGACGAGAGACCGGTGTTCTTTTATTTTCTTTTTTTTTTTTGTTCCAATGATTTCGCACAGTCAGCCGTGTGTTACCGCTTCGATGCGTATTCCCCTTCCCCAATCCCCTTCTTCTACCATGGCGATGGTACACTTAACCCATAAAGACAGGTCCGTTGAACTCGTTGCGACGCGCCGCGACCTGTAATGCGGTCGTGCATCATCCCATAATATAGGACAAAAGGCATTAAACGCAAAACCGGCCGCGGCAGATAATGCCAGGCGCGATATTGCGCGCGACGCTGAGGTCACGGATGTGTTCATGCGCGAGCGTTGCGCGATCTATACGGTACACTCGCGCTTATAGCATGAGTGTATATGTCGATATCCTTCTTACAAATCCAACGTCCGGTTGGATCTTTTAATAACACTTACATAAACCGTCTGCGCATGCAAGTCCATAGAACGGGCTGTGCATGTCACACGTAGAAAGAAAGAGAGAGAGAGAGAGAGAGAGAGAGAGAGAGATTTCTCTGCATTTTATTTAAATATTTCAAAAAACGATATTTTCCTCCATATTTTATTATTATTCCGCACAAACCAATTTAACATGGATTACAGTTATTAACATCGGATATGTTTTCCGTAAATAAATAGCTTCTATATTTAACCTCTTGGAGGATTAAAGAAGGATATACAATGATAGAAGACGGAGATAATATAATATAAATAACTCATATACAATTCTCGCGATGTTAATGTAATTAAACGTCGCGATTATACGCATTATATTTGTGAATTCTCTTCCGTCCTGTTACTCTGATAAAGCTAAAGAGTATTAATTAAAGATTATGGAGGACGAATAAGAAATTAAATTTATTAAAGATTATCAGAGATCATCTTTGCTTTCAGGCTCTCAGGGATTCGAAGGACTCGAAGAATTCACGAGTTCCCGTGACGGAATTGTAATCGCGTTTTAATTTTCTTCCTTCTCCATGAGCGAGTGCCATATACCTTTAACCGACGCTTACATCGTTCGGAAAGCCAAAGAAAACAAAATATGTTGTATGCAGAGGAATACCGAGACATCGAAGAATGGTGGGGTTTCTGCGAGCCATCTTCCTATAGCACGGTAAGTACTTGATTTTTTTATACATAATTCGTAATAAAAACGAGAGCGCGACCCGATAAACCGTGAAGCTTCAAGGGAGCAATGCTAATAATGACACACTGAAATTATCGGAAAAAAAATTAATAAATAGATATTTCCGATCAATTTTTATATCCGATCAGAATATCCAATTAAATTTTATCGGATACTTCCGATCATAATGACATTTCATCAAATGAACCGATCAAAAGTTATGAATCGATATTTCTCATCGGATGTTTCCTAATCGGGTAAAAAAATTTATAGGTATTTTGATTGGCAATATTTGTTTGTTAATTTTTTATCGAATAATTTCTCTCAGTGCAGTCTGCCGAAATGCACCGACAGTATCTTTTTTGCGTTCTGAAATTATTCTCAGCGTGTTGCGTAAATAGTAAAAGCGACTATTTTTTTTTACAAAAATAGATTCTAGAGAATTACTGATTCCGGTTGATTCTGCGCACTATCTTGAGATATCTTGAGAATGTAAGCTTAGTAATGCATATGGCTATATGACCATTTAAGCTTTGAGTTATAGTGGGATTAGCATTCCATTTATTTTTTACTTATTTTTGATAATTTCAATTAATCATAACTTATCGATAGATATAGTCCATTATATTACGACACGTCTATTATAATATTATTAAGACACGTTTTAATAAACATAAGAAATTAAAAATAACTAAAAACTAATTTTGTGCATCTTTAATTGTTAGATATTATAAAAATAAAAAGAACCTTTTTTCAAATAAAAATAATTTTAAGGTTAATTATTAGGAATTGACACATTGAAATATTAAGAGTTTATTCAGAACAACTAACAGTGTTTTGCACATGTTTTCAAAATTTTTGATAATTCTCACTTTTTACAATAAACTATTAATATATCGATAATATTTTTCCTATATTAAGTTTTTTGGTATAAAAATACTAATATATCTTCTTCATGTCGGGGAAATGTTGTCGTTATATATTTTGTCGTTTTATTTGAAATAATACTAAAGACAAGTTTGTTAATTTTAGAAATTTATGTTTGCTATATTGGATCCACCATTTCGAATTTTATTTTTTTATTTATTTCAAATTTAAATAATCAACGATCCCGAAAACCAAATATGAGAAAACTCTACTGAAAAATAAAATGTATACGTTTAAACTAAAGGTTTAAATTAAAGAAGTAAAAATTGCGAGGAAAAATAAGACAAGATAATTGAAATAATAATATGTTATTAATGAAATATATATTAATTAATGAAGTTGAAAATATATATACGAAATATTTCTGTATTGGAAAAAAAAATTCTGCTAATTTAATAAAATAGCAATATCCACAACAATTGATTTGTTGATATAGGATAACAAATGATCCCGTATAGGGGATCCCGTATGGAAAATAAATAATTTGTTATCTTCAATTTGTTGCTCTAAGTAACACTCGCACGTGTAATAGAAACATAACTAATATAATTTAAATAAAGGAGACATAACTATAATATAATCTGAATATAATTTGAATATAATCTGAATAAGCGAGACATAACTAATATAATCTAAATAAGTGAGACATAACTAATATAATTTAAATAAACGAGAGAATATGATTTGTATTTTCTCAATAAGCATCCCTCCTTTACACTAAAGCAGGATAGAATACTAAAGAATTAGCAGATGACAATAAATTTCAAAATCTGTATACTAATAAGAGAAAACTGACAAAAATCGAAAGAGAGCTGAAATGTGGATCTTTAGTCACGGACAAATTAGGAGCAAACGGACGCTTTGCTATAGGATTCTATGGCCTTAATATGAATCGTAGCGAAGGCATTTCCATGGATGGCCTAGCTACAGCCTTTCAAGCTAAAATACTGATCATCCCAAGGTATGCATAGAATTCTAGATCTCCATTGAAGTAGTAGAAAAAAAGAAATATACACATCTACTCTGACAGCAGGGCAATTATAACGATGCTTGCTAATACCATCACGAAATGATTGGAACTGCAAAAAATGCGATAGAAGAGCTAAATAAAGTTAACAATAATATTATTCTAACCTGGTTCCCCGAACGTTAGAGTATAGCGAGAAGGCGGATAGGCTTATCATAGGAACTGTGGATAGGTTCCTTTTGTTGTTGGCAAAAATATTATCAAAAACTACTTAAAGTAGAAGCACTTAAAAGATTAAAGAAGTAAGAAATGTCGATAACTCAAGTTGCTTATAACTCTTATTAAGTAGGGCGAAAGAGCTTCTGAATAGATCATGAACAGACAAAAGTTGAGAATATGTATTGACCTCTTAACAGGACATGCAACTCTGAGTGTACATATATATAACCTTAGACTAACTGAGCAGAGAGAATGCTGGTTATGTAAAGGTGAAAAAGAGAATAACATAATATTTTGTGTTACTGTTCAGCACTCATTTACAAAAAATATCGATTGCTAGGAATGTTCCAAGAATCTAAAGATCTGGAAGGAATAATCTATTAAGTGAATAGTCTATTAAGTTTAGTGAAGAACACTAGGCCAGAGTTATTACTACCATAACAAAAACAATCGGTATGATATTACAATGAATCCTCAGGGATCTAGATGAAGGAATCCAGAAGCTATCAAAACAAACCTACCGCAATATGTTATTACTACTACTACCAGAGGATTATCACAAAGCATTTTAAAGTTACAATTATTAATTCTTTCAATTATTGAAGAAAACTAATGGTGAAAAAATCCTAAAAATCATTTTAAATTAACTATTAAAAAAACTTTTAATTTTAATAATATTTAATTCATATCATTATAGGTAATAATTACGTCTTCTAAATATTATAAAATATAAAAAAAGTAGACTAAGTTAAAAAAAGTTGCTATTAGAAATTTCCTATAATTACAAATTAATTTTCATCCACTCATCGTTCATTTTATTTAGGTTATATCGTTCACGTTGTCTGCTAATACTGCATTGTACTGCAAATGTGTCCTAATTTTCATAGACTGCATTCAAAGGTTTTTAAGCCGTTCTGCAAACAAGTGTATATTTTCTTAACATTCGCTTTTGTGATTCTGTATGACTATATTTGCACTATCCGCTTCGAGCGAATTTTCTTTCGTTTGATGTGATATTTCACATCAAAGAATTTAGAAAGTACATATGTTCCCGCTCGCAATCAGCAATTTGTTCCTCCTGTGGTACGCGTTCGCAAACGAAAGGAAGCTCGCGAGCCGCTGCGGTCGTAGGGACGCCTACGTCCTTTCGAGGGCCACTTGTCCGCAATCTTCCGCATTATATTCTGGCATTCCAAATATTAGTGTCAGATTCAGACACAGATAGTGAATGTCCCGTAATATCATCGTCGAGATATTACTAACGTGCCTTGATTATATATAGTGATGAATACTGACTAGTGGTGAATACTGTCGTTTTTTTAATGTTATCCACGTGTTACGAAGAGAAATAAAATGGGACTTTGCGACGAGGTTTCTTATCTAGCGATACTATATTTAGAAATTTACGATCTTTTTTTTTTTTTTATGCAAAGCACGGTGAAAACGCTTGAACACGTCGTGCTTATCAGTTTTATCGATTAAATGTCATTGAGAATTACATTTCTGTTCGCTACACATTTCGAGCAAGTTATAATGCACATGATTACTACTTGTTCGATATTCAGTACTCTATAGAAAACAATCATTTTTCGTTCATATCCAATTGTGGCATGATTAAAATTATCTGAAGAGTACGTTTATTGTTATATTTATTACATATTCTGTAATGCATCAAAATTATTGTTTAGTTGCGTATTTTTCGATCGTCACTTTTTATTCTTCTTTGATTAACTTTATTAGGTTTCCTAGCATATCGAAAAAAAACGCGCGATAGTTACGGATTTTGAATAAAAATATTTGAATAAAAAAGAGAAAACTTTTTTATATCAAAGAAATATAATTCTTTATATATGTGTGTATGTGAGAGACAGACAGAGAGAGAGAAGGAAAGAGAGAGGGGGAGATTTTTTCGAGCAATATAAATTTTCGCTTTTTTTTTAATTTAATAACAATTTTTAAGTACATTATGCATTAAATTAATAATAATAATTTTTAAGTACATTATGCATTAAATTAAATAGAAATTAAATAGAAATTATTTTTTTAATAAAGTATAAAATAATTTAAAAGAATGTTTATATAAAAACAAATGAAAGAGGTATTAGAATAAAACATTTATACTTTTATTTTATATTTTTCTTTCTACATTTCTCTTTTTTAAACAAGCCGAAAACAGAGACATTTCTTTTCTATTTCAAATAATATGGCTTCTTTGAAATTTAAGCTCCTTTGAAATTTAAAAAGCAATGTAGTTTAAAACTTAAAGGAAACAAATATATTTTTATGTTAAAAGGGCAAACAAATTGTGGACAATGAAGATACATAGTTTAGCATTACGCATCGTTCGTCGTTGTCAAAAGATTGTCGACAGATTTAAACATTTTGGATGATACTTTACCTAAAGAGCTCTTCTCATGTCATTATACGTATTTATTTAACCATTTTCTATTATTAATATTTCAAAAATTGCTGTGGTTGTTTGCAAAATAATACAAGATTTTTCGTTCAATTTGATGAGTTCTACCTGCACACGAGCAGACGTATGTTTTGCGTCAAACACTAAAGTAAATATCCCTATTTGTGACCATGACCCTATTTGTGACCATTCACGGATTTTTATTAAATTAATCAAAAGTTTTAAGTAATTTATCTTCGAAAAGAATATTTATCGTAAATTGACTTAATCGCGTGTTGTCTATCTAATTTGATTTTGAAAGGAATTTATCTTTTAGTTCGTATTTTAAATTGCTTTTTAAGGAGGCCATTCCAGTATTCCAAATACCAAAGACTCTAATTCTACGGATCAAATTACTAACATTCTTGTCATTAGTAACTCAAATCAGAGTCTTGACCCTAACAATAGTCAAACTTCAAC